TCGAGTCCCGTGTGTGAGAATAATTTCGCGTCGCCTATCCTAGTTAGAGCATCAGCCACGGCTAACATCAGTGGCGAGTGATGTCTCAACCTTCTAGGTGCCACAGAGCTGCACTGACCAGCGTGGTGAAGTATGGTTAAACAATTGCTCCACCCCGCCCGAGGCCGACATGGCGTGGGGAGGTCTTCATCCTGCAGTGGATCGATCATGGACGATGATGATGAGGTAGCTATCAAAAACACCTCCTGAGTAGATGCATATATAGATATTGTTGTTGAGGTTACAATCGACGAGTTTGTAGTTCTTGAAACCGCCGCAAGGATGAACTGTATATGGAATTCGGATGATGTGTGGGTGGGTGTGTATCTGCGTACGTGGGGAGCGGTGGCGCAGTGGTTAGCGCACTGCGCTACGAACCCCGGCGAGCCGAGTTCGATTCCCGCTCACAAGCCAACATCGGTAATAAATATCTGAACCGGTCCTGTAGATCGACTCAGCCTTAAATAAAGTACCCATCTGGTGCGGTGTGTAAACATCGCCACCAGAGAGACAAAGGCGGCCGGGCGTGGTGCTCGGCACACCACCTCCTCGTGTGCCGTGTTGCGTCGGCCTTCGCAGGTGCTACTCGCTGACGGCACTTGCCCCAACAGTCTGTTCAGGCTATACGGGGGATCTTCGCCTTTGTACCGTGAGCATGGACACGATATATTCTGTGCGTCAACGTACGAACGGCACAGTCCAACATGCAAGTGGGTCCTGCAGTGTTTTTGCTCGAGCCCCCCCCCCCCCAACCCCGCAATCCAGAGATCACTGGCTCCCACCTCGAACCCCCAGCACCAAGACCACAACAGAGACAGACAGAGAGAGAGCACACGTGTCCACGCTTCACAGTCGACGTGGTTGTCAGTAAGGGGACGTGTTTCGTGTTGTGTATCCGTGTGTTTTGTGTTGGTAAGAATTGTTTGGTGTTGTGTATTTGTGCGTGTTTTTTTTATAAGGCATTAGTTTCACGATGTGTATTCATGTGCTTCGTTACTCAGGCGTGTGTTTTACATTGTGCGTTCGTGTGTTTTGTGTTCGCTAAGACATGTGTCTAACGTTGTGTATCAGTGTGATTTGTGTTCCCTAAGGCTCCCCTCTCCCCATGACCTGGTATATGTATCCAAATATACACAGCACAATGTATACCATATCTATCTACACACATCACAATATATACCGTATATATCGTTACACTCTATACATCACATGCTTTGCATCACACACCTACACAGCGTGCTGACACAGCGCGAAGCGTGGTTAACGCTCCACTATAGCGCGACGCAGCGCGCGTTATCACAAACACAAAGTGTACAACACGGCCGTGCTATAACTGTGCATGGACGCTTTACAGCGAGATATAAGCTTACTCTCGTTTATTCATTGCTCGAATTCACTTACGTACGAGTGCCTTTGTGCGTGTAGACACAAAGACCCCCCCCCCCACGCCTCCCGGATAGCCTTTAACAGACTGTCGGGGCAAGTGCTGTTCGCGAGGAGCAACACACGAGGGTGGTGGGTGGCCATCGTGACGCGCGGCCGCCTTTGTCTCCCCAGTGGCGATGTTTAGACACCGCACCAGGCACTCACGTAAGGCCGACTCGAGGTCGTCACGAGCCGGCCGGGGGAGGTGGATCCTTGTAGATGGATGTTGGTGGTATTCGTATTGGGTGGATAGGTCGGTGCCTGTATATGCACAGGCGGGTCCTGATATAAAGTGGCTATTGGTACAAGTACGTAGAGGTGGGCATGCGAGAGCGTAGATATGTCGGTGGTAATGTCGACAGGGACGAGCATGGGACGTGCAGACAGGAGACGGAATAATGAAATCAGGACAAGAGAGAGAGAGGTGCCGCGCGGATTGTTGTATCACGGAATCACGGGGGTATGGATTCATCCAGCAGTGGATTGAGCGTGGCCGATAATCATGGTTGACGACGACGACTATGCGGAGATAGGCAAGTAATCGTGTGGGTAGGCACGAGGCTTCATTTCTCACTCGATATTTTCCTGATCGCGTCGTGGATGGCTCTGGAGTCGGGATTGCCGGCGTAAGGCACTACTACTAGAATACAAGGCGCGTTAACCTATCCACAATTGCAGTACATTGTTGTACCCTATATTCCTATAGGGTGTATATATATTCGCAATGTCCTACAAGCGAGTTAATGTCGCTAAATAAGGGCAGCTGTGTTTTTGTGGCTATGTGCCAAAACAATTTCCGGGAACGGCTAACTCCGGCCTGTTCCAGCTGAAATGCAGCACTGGGTAGTCAGGTACGAGTTAGTACAGGTAGGTGGTAGCAGCAGCAGCACCACCACCACAGGTAGGCGAGTACCGGTGCGGGTCCGTGTGAGCGAGCACGTGATGCAGCTGCGGCGGTCTGACCCCACGTGTCCCTCCCACCAAAGAAAGACAAAGATCCCCCGTAAAGCCTAAACAGACTGTTGGGGGCAAGTGTTGTTCAAGAGGAGCACCGAGAGGGTGGGTTTGCCCACACACACGCCCGGCCGCCTTTGTCTCCCCAATGGCGATGTTTACACATCGCACCAGGTACTTATTTGAGGCTGAGTCGATCCAGGGGATGGCTACAACCAGCTCAGATAATCGGCACCGGTGTTGGCCGTAAGCGGGAATCGCACTCGGGTTGACCAGATTCGTAGCACGGCGCGCCAACCGCTGCCCCACCGCACCCACCACCACCCCTACCCCCCACCACACCCACCACTACCACCACCCACCACTACCACCACCCACCACCACCCCCTACCCCCCACCACACCCCCCACCACACCCACCACTACCACCACCCATCACTACCACCACCCATTCACCCACGAACCCGCCAGCACGTGCACGACGTCTCTCGCATAGGCCGACGCGTCGAGTCTTGTCGATGAATCGATTCACTAAGCAGACATCTCCTTCACGTGTCCGTCCCTCCGCATGCAACATAAATATAAACGAGTTTTACACATCCCGTCTAACGCACGGCCATTCCCGGAGTGCCACAAAACCATAAGCATTGCGGTGCGATACAAACAACGCTCTGGACCGGTTTCGACTCGCAGTGTCTCATCAGCAACGTCGGGCTCGCTCATTTAGATAATGAACATCCACGACCAAGCTCACGATACATGCGTGTCGGGTAAATCGTTGTTTCCATAGGTATATTTATTGTACCGTATAATGGGGTTCACGTGATTACCCTGCAGCCGCTAGAGGCCGCTAGACGAATGTCCAAACGCCCGTGTGCTGTGAAGTCACATTTACCAAATAGAGCAACAAAAAACACCCCGCTGATCTGAAAACATGTTTTTTAACTCCCATCGGGCCCCGTGGTGTGAAAGTCTCGAGCTCTTATTATCCACTCTGTCTCTCCGACGTCTTTATCCGTGTGCTGAAGAAGGGTCATCTCCAGAAACATCGCCCATTACATCCGTTTTCGTTAAAAGCCGTAGTGCTATTGACGGACGTGTTGAATTGAATGTTTTTATGTATCGTAATATGCATGTACGAGAGTCATTGTCTGTTGAGCAGCAGCGTGACGTGTGTGTGCGTGACATGCGTGTGGCATATACGTGACACGTGCGTGACATCTGAATGTCATGGGCAAATATCAGCACAACTCCCCGTTTTGTGTCGACACGTAAACTACCAAAATGCGCAATCTTCTACTCCATCAGCCTCGCGTCTTTCCAGACCAACATTGTCCACCATCATTCATTCATTCACGCGGGTAAAGCCTCCCGGACCTATTTCCACCTTCCGGGGGTCTCATCGGCAGAGTTCAGTTTCGTTAAACGACCATCCTGCTGGGTTAGCGGCCGTCATTGGCGAGGGCGGCCCGAGCGAAACGGCGCAGCGGCAGTTCCGCCAAGCGCTTCGTTTCTCGCTCAAATCGTTTCCTGCCACCGCGTGGAGCCCACGCGTGCACGTGCGCACGTTTGACTTCGTTCGCACCGTACGTAGTCAACCGCGCAAAATCGGAGGTGCGCGGACTCCTGGCCAGAGGTCGTGGCGAGAGGAGGTCTACTGGATGTGGCATGCCGGTTACGGGAATACTGCAGTTATTCGGTTCGCCGACCCGGATAATACTTCCGATGATGCTGGTAACAATGATCGTGATGCTGGTGATGGTGCTGGTGGTGATGATGATGGTGATGATGCTGGTGATGATGATGGTGCTGGTGGCGATGATGGTGATGATGATGGTGCTGGTGATGATGATGGTGCTGGTGGCGATTATGGTGCTAGTGACGACGATGATGATGGTGCTGGTGACGATGGTGCTAGTGATGATGGTGCTGATGGTGATGATGTTGGTGATGATAATGGTGCTGGTGGTGATGATGACGGTAGTGATGACGATGATGGTGGTGATGATTCCGTTGGTAATGTTACGGCTTCAAATAATCCCTTGGCTATCCTATTCACTGAAAAATACACCCCCAACTCCCCCACCCAGCTTAGTACCTGGTCACCCGGTTCGAATCCGGACCCAGGTCTTTAATTCGCTCCTCGCTCTCCGAAAACCACGAAATTCTTCTCTGGCGGGGGCGGAGCTGGCGGCTTGGTCAATCCGTGCCTCGCTCTCCCATTGGACGAGCTCACGGGGGTACGTCACCATCAGTCGACTTCCCAATTATTCCCAGAGGAACGAAGAGAGAGAGATACATATACATCGATATATAGGTAGATAGAGGAAAAAAAAGCTTTGAAGTAGGTCCACTGCCCGGAACGTCGTCCATTATCCACGCGTTTCCCTTTGCCGGCGCGCTGTTTCGACGCGCGCGAATGAGGCCCTGCGTGTTGTCGTCAGCGCTGCACGGACGCAGCGTCACACTGCAACGCATGTTCCGAGAGGTGGATGGATGATGGAGAGGATGGGGGCGATGGGAGGGGATGGGGGAGGGGGAAGATGGAGGGGATGGGGGGGCGGTGGGGTGGACGGGGCGTGTCTATGCGGATCAGTTTAAACGCGAAGCAGAAATCTGGAAATAAAACATTCGACTGAGATTTTTTTTACGGCCGCCCGTCTCACAACCCCCGCCTCGTATCCCCCCCCCCCCGACTCCCCCCGCAATCTCGCCTGCTCCCCCCTCCTTCCGCCCCCCCCAACCGCACCCCCTCCCATCGTCGCCCCCCCACAAACACAAATTTACGACCATGAGTTCGTTCGTGGCGACCCCGGGCGCGGGACTCGTGGACACGAAGTTTCCCGCCTGCGTCGAGGAGTTACGCGACGACGATGATCATCAACACCACCACCACCAGCACCTCGACCACAATCACCACCACCACCACGACCACTACATCGCCGACCACGACTTCTACGAGAGCGAAGAGCTCTGCTCTGCAAACGCAACCGCTCCTCCCTTGACTGCGCCGCTAAGGGCTGGAGCCCGCCACTTAAATCGTCAAAATCATCATCATCAGCAGCAGCAAGAGCAGCACCATCAGCAGCAGCATCATCATCAGAATCACAACCATCATCATGGCCATCATCAAGATCATCACCAGGGCCATCATCATCAGCGGCAGCATGATGCTCATCGGGATCATCAGCTGGATGTGCTTCCCGATTGTGATCAGCAACAGCACCACGATCATCATCAGCAGCAGCACAAACAGCATCAGCAACACCAACACAATAATCACCACCATCACCAGCTGCACCAGCAGCAGCAGCATCATCATCAACAGCATTACAAGCTACAGCAGCAGCAGCAACAACAACAGCAGCCTTCGCAGGCCCCCATCTACAGCTGCGAGCGAGCCCACGGAGCCGGCCTCTCGGGGATTCTATCCCGCGCGTTGGCGGACCCCTCGATCCGATGCGAGGGGATAAGCGCTCGGGACCTCGCGTCCCCGGTCCCTTTCGACGAGGGGGTTCCCCCTGCTACGGGGGTGCCCGGGCAGCCGCAGCAGCAGCAGCCGCAGGCGTCGCGCGGGGCGAGGGAGGATGCGATGGTGGTTTACCCGTGGATGAAGAAGGTACACGTGAATACAGGTAGCGCGGCGTGTGCGCGTCTCTGTGTGTGTCACGGCTCTCTGGGTGTGTGTGTTACACCTTTGTGTGTGTGTTACACCTCTGTGTGTGTGTGTTACGTCTCTCTGGGTGTGTGTGTTACACCTCTGTGTGTGTGTTACACCTCTGTGTGTGTGTTACACATCTGGGTGTGTGTTACACCTCTGTGTGTGTGTTACACCTCTGTGTGTGTGTTACACATCTGGGTGTGTGTTACACCTCTGTGTGTGTGTTACACCTCTCTGGGTGTGTGTGTGTTACACCTCTGTGTGTGTGTTACACGTCTCTGGGTGTGTGTGTTACACCTCTGTGTGTGTTACACATCTGGGTGTGTGTTACACCTCTGTGTGTGTGTTACACCTCTCTGGGTGTGTGTGTGTTACACCTCTGTGTGTGTGTGTTACACCTCTCTGGGTGTGTGTGTTAAGGCTCTGTGTGTGTGTGCTACGTCTCTGTGTGTGTTAAGGCTCTGTGTGTGTTACGTCTCTGTGTGTGTTACGTCTCTGTGTGTGTGTTAGGACTCTGTGTGTGTGTTAGGGCTCTGTGTGTGTGTTACGTCTCTGTGTGTGTTACGGCTGTGTGTGTTAGGACTCTGGGTGTGTTAAGGCGATGTGTGTGTGTTACGTCTCTGTGTGTGTTAGGACTCTGGGTGTGTTACGTCTCTTCGTGTGTGTTACGTTTCTGTGTGTTACGGCTGTGTGTGTGTTAGAACTCTGTGTGTGTTAGAACTCTGTGTGTATGTTAGAACTCTGTGTGTGTGTTAGAACTCTGTGTGTGTGTTAGAACTCTGTGTGTGTGTTAGAACTCTATGTGTGTGTTAGAACTCTGTGTGTGTTAGAACTCTGTGTGTTAGAACTCTGTGTGTTAGAACTCTGTGTGTTAGAACTCTGTGTGTGTTAGAACTCTGTGTGTGTGTTAGAACTGTGTGTGTGTTAGAACTGTGTGTGTGTTAGAACTGTGTGTGTTAGAACTGTGTGTGTTAGAACTGTGTGTGTGTGTTAGAACTCTGTGTGTGTGTGTTAGAACTCTGTGTGTGTGTTAGAACTCTGTGTGTGTGTTAGAACTCTGTGTGTGTGTTAGAACTCTGTGTTTGTGTTAGAACTCTGTGTGTGTTAGAACTGTGTGTGTGTGTTAGAACTGTGTGTGTGTTAGAACTCTGTGTGTGTTAGAACTCTGTGTGTGTGTTAGAACTCTGTGTGTGTGTTAGAACTCTGTGTGTGTGTTAGAACTCTGTGTGTGTGTTAGAACTCTGTGTGTGTTAGAACTCTGTGTGTGTTAGAACTCTGTGTGTGTTAGAACTCTGTGTGCGTGTTAGAACTCTGTGTGTGTTAGAACTCTGTGTGTGTTAGAACTCTGTGCGTGTTAGAACTCTGTGTGTGTTAGTTAGAACTCTGTGTGTGTGTTAGAACTCTGTGTGTGTGTTAGAACTCTGTGTGTGTTAAAACTCTGTGTGTGTGTTAGAACTCTGTGTGTATGTTAGAACTGTGTGTTTGTGTTAGAACTGTGTGTGTGTGTGTGTTAGAACTGTGTGTGTGTGTTAGAACTCTGTGTGTGTGTGTTAGAACTCTGTGTGTGTTAGAACTCTGTGTTAGAACTCTGTGTGTGTGTGTTAGAACTCTGTGTGAATGGGTGCGGTAGCGGGGTCCGCAGCTGCTGGTGCATCGGCCTGCCAGTCGTCATCTCGGTGGGTCAACCCATGGCACCTGCTGGGTCTGCCCCGTCACCTCCGGCCAGCGGGACCTTCGACACTTCACGTCGCCTCAAAGTGCACCTAGCCTGGCACAGGCGTCGTGGTGACGTCGCCGCTCCTGAGTGGTGAACGGCGACTGTTGGTTCGTGTCGCGGTTTTGCGCGTTGCGCTGCGAATTCGATTCCCGCTCACGGCCAACACCCAGTGACGATTATTTGAATCGGTCCAGGGCATCCCCTAGGTCGACTCAGCCTCAAACGAGTACCTGGTGCGGTCTGTAAAAATCGCCAATAGGAGAGACAAAGGCGGCCGGGCGTGGTCTCGACCACCCACCCCCTCGTGTGCCGTTCCGGCCTTCGTAAGTGCTCGTTAACAGCACTTGCCCCAACATTCTGTTTAGGCTATACGGGGGATCTTTGTCTTTTGTGTGTATATAACTGTGGGTGTGTGTGGATGTGAGTGGGTGGATGTGCACGTGCCTGTGTGTCGATATACGACTATGTGTATGTATTGTGGGGTGGGGGGTGCACGTGTTTGTGTGCGAATGGCACTTGCCCCAACATCCTTTAAAAGGATTTATATATGGGGGGATCTTTTTCTTCGTGTGTGTTGTGTGTCTGCATGGGAATGTTTGTGTGAGTGTCTTTATACTGTAGATGCGTGGGCATGTCTCTGTGTATTTCGGTTTGTATCCGTGACTGTGTGAGTGTCTTATATATACGGTTATGTGTGGATGCGTCTTGGTGCGGGGGGCGAAAATATTCTCAACGACGAATATCTGAACCGGTCCTGGGCTTTCCCCTAGGTCGACTCGGCCTCAAATTAGTGCCCTGGTGCCGCGTGTAAGCATCGGCACTGGGGGAGACAAAGGCGGTCGGCCGTGGTCACACCACCCATTCAAACTGCAGTGTCGGCCTTCGTAGGCGATCGCAAACTGCACTTGCCCCAACAGTCTGTTAAGGTTATCCGGGGGATCTTTGTCATCGTGTGTTCGCGCCGTGGAGAAGCGGTGGCGCAGTTTGTCGGCATAGTGCGGTGCGAACCCGGACTACACGAGTTCGATTCCCAGCCACGGTCAACGTGAGTGGTGAGTGCTAATCAGTGCGGTGTGTTAGCACTCCCCACTCACGGTCAACGTGAGTGGGGAGTGCTAATCAGTGCGGTGTGTTAGCGCTCCCCACTCAACGCACGAGACCACATCACACACACAACCCGAGTGAGACGGGTTGACCGACACATCAACCCTTTGCAATTGCATTGTCGGCATTCATAGGCGCTCCCGAACAGCACTTGTCCCGACAGCCCGCTTCGACTACACGTGCATCTCGGTGTGTTTAAGTGCATCAGTCATGTCATTATCACAGGCAACGTGTATAGGGTGGACGTGTGTGTGTGTGCTTTGTATGTGTGATTGTAGCTGTATATAAGTGACTGGCTATATATATCAACGAATTAACCGTGTGATGTGTTTGTGTGTATAATTATACTGTGTGTGAGTTTGCGTGCGTGTATGTACCGTGTGTACATGCAGGTTTGCGTTTATGGTATGTGCAATTGTGTATGTATTGTGCGTAGTATATGTTTGTGTGTACACGTGTGTTCATACGAGTATATGTGTGAGCCTATATATGATTGTGTGTGCCCGAGTCTGTATGATTGGGTATGGGGGAGCGGTGGTGCAGTGGTTAGCGCGCTACACGATGAACCCAGGCACCAATAAGTGAGAAATATTTCAACCGATCCTGGGCCTCTCCCAAGTCGATTCAGCCTTATGCATGCCGTTGTTTGCGTGCTGTTGAACTTATTTCGCGCCTTACAATGGTGCAATGTGTAAACGTCAGCGCTGGAGAGACAAAGGCGGCCGCGCGTAGTCGTGTGTCGGCCTTAATGGGTGCTCTCTAACAACACTTGTCCCAACAATCTGTTTAAGGCTATACAGGGGATGATCTTTGTCTTTTTATGAGTGTGTGTGCCGTATATTGCGAGTTATGTAAACGAATGTGTTTTATTACGTGTGTTGTTCTGTGTGTTTGTGTGTGTACACTTGCTAGGGTTGTTAAACAATAACCGGTAACCGTGATTAAAAAAAACAAAGATTACCGGTTCAGAAAGTCTGTAACGAATGCACCGATTTATCAGCACGCTCAAAGATTGTGCTAACGGCACGGCGAGCCTCGCATCACCGCGTGGCGAATTTGCCCCCCTCCGTTCCTCAATTAAAAGGCTAAAGGCGCCGCGCCTGCAACTGCTCCCTGACGCCACTGCAGCAGTAGCAGCTGCCGAGGGTGATTTTGGTCTACTCTTCCACACTGACAAGGGATGTGTCCTCGGAAGAGGCGGGGCGTACCCACGCTTTACCCCCACCATGTGGGTGGACTTGCCGATTGACGAGCTTGCTGGGTGGAGAAAGGCGGAGTGGAGGGTGTTGAGATTTGAGTGTGTATTAATGTGTCCACGTGTGTGTATCACGCGTGTCTGTACACACGCGTGCAGTGTCGATCTGTACGTATTGTATCGTACCCGTTGGTAGTCGTCGTGCATGCGCCCATCTATGCACGAGTGTGCAGTATACGTATATATAGTACACGGGTAGGATTCGCCATGCACGAACGTGTTCTACTATCGTCGTATCCGTAATATATATACACACGCACACTACAATATATAACGTATATGCACTGCACACGTGGTCCACGTGACTCGACTCTGATGACGTTCAAGGAGGGGATAGCGAGCTGATATTTGAGCTACCAATTAATTAACTTTCTCGAGCTTGGACACAAACAAAGGACATGGTCCGAAATAACATTCCGCGCTTCGGGGGGCACCCACGGTGACCGCCACTTCCTCATAGAATCGGAGTAAAATGTATTTACGCTAGAGGAATCCGATGAGCCGTAAAGCTCTTTCATCACAGACGTCCGAGACCTCACGCAAGGCACTCGCCCCACCACCCCGAAGCATCGTCGGTGAGCCGAGTAATTCGCCTCCCCCGCAGAGCGCGACGCCGCAGTCGATAGGCCGGTCCTTCGTATCACCACGTGAATGGACGCCTTGATCAATCCACTGCTGGATGAAGGGGCCTCCGACCCGGACCCATGGGGTGGTCGCTGTGGGTTGTTTTGACGGTAGCGGGGTGACTTTACCAGAGCCCACAGAGAGAGAAGGGGGGGGGGAGATGGTGAAGGGAGGTGAGAGCGGAGGTAAGAGAGGAGAGAGCGTAACAGAGTTGTGCGTCGAGGGTTGGTGGAGAGTAGAGAGAGAGAGAGAGGGGATAGTGGAGTGGAGAGAT